GGTCACGGCCGACAAATGATCTTCCAGTGTCAGCCGTGGATCCAGGAGGACTCCCAGATTGCGCACCCTCTCTGAGGGGGCCAAAGATTCGCCCCCTATAGACAGCGATGGAACCAGCTGACTATGCCGGGGCGCCGGCAACCACAGCCACTCGGTCTTGGAAGGGTTGAGTCTAAGTCTGTTCCTTCCCATCCAGACCTTTTCCTTTTAATTGCATCTAGTATAAAATGCATTTTTGGGGGATTTCCTTTTCCACTCCTGATTATATTGAGTAAAATAGTTTTGTTGTCATTCCAAATCCAAATTCATGTGAAAAAATTCATTTAACCTGTTTTTACAATCTTGTAAACTTTTTTTCAGTATTATGTTAACTGATACAATCTGAGAACGTTTTAACTAGAATGTTTCAAAAATTTGTACATGAAGTATTAAACAGCAGATGAACACTTCAATTTAAAGAGAATAATACTAATAATAATAATAAAGTTGGAAGGGACCGGAGATATTGGAACACTGCTATCATGTCCCCCCTCGTTCTTCTCTTCATTAAACTAGACATACCCAATTCCATCAACCTTTCCTTATATGTTTTAACCTCCAGTCCCCTAATCATCTTTGTTGCTCTTCTCTGTACTTAGTGTAGACTATTGTAAAATCTGAGTCAATGTTTCATTTTTTTTGCTTGTTAGGAAAAACTGCCTTTTTTCTATGAATGACACAGGTCATGAATTCAGTCCTTAATATCTAAAATAAAAGTAATTTCCCAATATCTCCAAATCATTCTGTTAGCAATTCCCCATAGTCAATGTAATCAAAGTTTCTCAAAAATAGTTCAATTTCACATTTTTGGAATGTAATTCAACATAAGGTTAGCCTCTTTAATGCTGAAAGTTTTCCACACTCTTAAAACAGTGGGTGTTGTGTTTGTTCTTTACAGATTCTGAACAATGTGTGAGATGCCGTGAGGACCAGCACCCCAACAAGGACCGAGATCAGTGTGTTCCTAAGGTGATAATTTTCCTATCCCACACAGAAAATTTGGCGATCATCCTTACTTCCTTTGCTTTACTTTTCTCTTTGAGCACTGGCTTTATTTTAAGCATCTTTGTTAAGCACATGGAAACTCCAGTAGTCAAAGCCAACAACCGGGATCTGTCCTACTTGCTCCTCATTTCCCTCCTGCTTTCCTTCTTGTCTTCCTTCCTCTTCATTGGCCAGCCAAGAAGAACCACCTGCCTTCTGCGACAAGCAGCCTTCAGCATCATTTTCTCAGTGGCTGTCTCTTCTCTCTTGGCCAAAACCATTATGGTGGTGCTGGCCTTCCTAGCCGCCAAGCCAGGGAATAGTGTAAGGAGATGGCTGGGGAAGCCTTTGGGCAACTCCATTGTCCTTTCTTGCTCTATTGTCCAAGTTATGATCTGCGGTATCTGGTTGAGCAACTCTCCTCCATTTCCTGACTCTGATATGCATTCCCAGGCAGGAGAGATTGTGCTGCAGTGCAATGAAGGATCGGTCACCATGTTTTACACTGCGCTTTGCTATATGGGCTTCCTGGCAGCTGTTTGCTTAGTGGTGGCGTTCCTAGCCCGGAGTCTGCCTGGGGCCTTCAATGAAGCCAAGCTGATCACCTTCAGCATGCTGGTCTTCTGTAGTGTTTGGATCTCATTTGTGCCCACCTACCTGAGCACTAAGGGCAAGTACATGGTGGCTGTGCAGGTCTTCTCCATCTTGGCCTCCAGTGCTGGGCTGCTAGGTTGCATCTTTTTCCCCAAGTGCTATATTATTCTTTTTCGACATGATTTGAATAGAAAAGAGCAGCTTATTCTGAAAAGCAAAACAGAAATGTGATTTTAAATCAATACAAATTAGAAACACCAGTTGGCCCATTTGCTTATCTCTGTTCCTAAATAGAAATGTTTTTATCAATCATGCTAATTTCTTTGGGAAGCTTATTCTGTTTGTTTTATACTTACACGTTAAGTAAAACCCAATTTGTTAAAAATAAAATCTTCATTAAAGAAGTAGTAGAATTATAACTTCACATTTTACCCCATATAAACACACTCACACATACAAACAAATTAGCTAAAGAAAGAAAGAAATAATAATTAGGATTTCTGCAAAAATCAAAGTCAATATTTAGTGAGAAATTGGCCATTGTTCTCTGACTGCATGTAAATCTATGATGTATATGTAATTTTCTCTCCTGTGACATCAGATTTTCTGGGTTCATTCTGCACTTGATACTTTCCCTGATGAAAAAGCAAGAGCTTGGGTTTAATTGGTCTCTATGAGAAACAGTAGATTGTATTGTCTTTTCTACTGCTATGGTGAATTGTTCCAACAGATAAGAGTTCCTCTAATGAATGATGGCATCTTATAAAACTTGTGATGTTTATTTGCTGTTCCATTGTCCAGATTCAGTGCCCATGTAACAGCCATTTAAGGACTTGAAATATTACTGCATTTTCCAAAGGTCTTTTTTCTCGCTACAACCAAGACTTAGAATAATAATTTTATTGTTATTTTAAATGTACACTAATCAGCATACATTAAAATGAGATTTTGTTGCATACAGCTCTCAAAGAGTAATCACTTCCAATATATACTGCATAAACATGATAATTTTTTTTATGCATATACCCACATACACACATATATATGACCCAGTGAAACAGCACAGTCTAGTTCAGATGTGTACATATACATGGATAGAAAAATGAATCTTGTGAGTTTACCAGACAGATGGCACAGGGAACAAAGCTGTTACAGAATCTGGTAGTCCTGATAGAAATACTTTGAAACTTCCTCCCTGAGGGAAGGAACAGAAACAGACCATGAAGTGGGCGTGTAGGGTCTCTAGCAATGCTTCAAGCTCTAAGCACATAGTGCTTATAAGCAGTGTCCTGAATAATGGGAAGCTGGCTTCCTATAATCTTCTCAACTGTCCTTACTACTCTCTATATGGACCTTCTATCTGAGGCACTGCTACCACCAACCAAAGATCAATGATATAGACAGTGAACAGAGAAAAACCACTAAACCTAACACCAAAACACTTATTCAAAGGGTGTGTTTTGCTGGTTTCCTTTTTTTGTAAAACAGCAAAAAAATAAATAAATAAATTGCAAAATACAATCACATCACCACAGGACATTGCAACCAGTTGTAAACATGAACTGGTTGTCAAGTTCCCAAATCTGATAATATGGCCAATGGGGTGATGTGGCAATTATAACTTAGAGGATGGGTCATAAGAATTTTTTTGAGTCTGTCATAACAACCAATAGTCATTAAGAGACTGGTCATCAGTTGAAGATAACCTATACAGAAAGATCAAGATGGAGACATTATAAATCTTTGGCTCCCCTGGACTCCCCCTGGACTCCCCTCTACAGGGATAGAAGCCTTTACCTTCTTTGGGCTGGGAGTGACTGGACTCAGGAATCTAGTCAAAGAGGCCAAGAGTTAGCTGCTGCATTTCATTTCATTTTATTCAATTTGTATCCCGCCCTTCTCCCGAAGGACTCAGGGCGGCTCACAACATTTTTTAAAAAACAAAGACAAACCCACACACCCCACCGAATAAAACCAAATTAAAACCAATATTTTACTGTTGTGGTAATTAAAATTTCTAAGAAACCCAATTTAAAAATCCTCCCTAGGCCAGGCCCGCTTGTTGGAAAAGCCATGTCTTGAGGGCGCGGCGGAAAGTAAGGAGATCCGGAATAATCCGGATCTCGGGGGGTAGTTCGTTCCAGAGGGCAGGGGCACCCACAGAGAAGGCCCTCCCCCTGGGGGTCGCCAGTCGACATTGCTTGGCCGACGGCACCCTGAGGAGACCCACTCTGTGGGAGCGTACCGGTCTATGGGAGGGAATCTGTGGCAGAAGGCGGTCTCGGAGGTAGCCAGGTCCTATGCCATGGAGCGNCACTGGCCAGAGACAAAAATTAGATCCAGCGTGTGTCCACCCGTGTGGGTGGGGGCATTAATTAGTTGGGTCAAGTCCAAGGCCGTCATGGAAGCCAAGAACTCCTGAGCCGCCGCCGACGTCTCGCCCACTGATGGCAGGTTGAAATCCCCCAAGACCATAAGTCTGGGGGTCCCCACCGCCACCCCGGCTATCACGTTGGCCAGCTCAGGCAGGGCTGTTGATACATAGCAGGGAGCCATGTATATAATCAACAAGCCCACTTGCACCCCTTGCCCCCACTTCACAAAGAGCGACTCCACGCCGTCTATCTGAGGCACAGTGGTCTCCCTTGGAGCTTCAGAATATGGTGCAGATCATGTGACAGCAGTGGAGCTGACAGAGAAGATGAGCTCCTTTGTCCCTTGCCAGCAGTTGAATCTGCTCAAATGGACACTAGTGCTGTGGAGTATGGCGAGCTGCTGGCTGTATTTTTGAGTGATTAACTGACTTTTTGTAGCTTTGAACTTTTACAGGTGTTTCGGTGCTTTGGAATATTGGAGACATTGTGGGACTGCACAGCTGCAACATCACTTGATGCAGTGTGGTATGTTTTGAGTCTGCTGCTCTGAATTTATTTTAGGCCAATCTCTGGATTGGTTTACAATCTGCCCTTGGGAGGTTATTCAAGAGACCCTGGGATTGTGAGGGGAGGGAAGTTTGGCGACAGCCAGGTGAATGTGGTTTTCTTTCCCTGGGTGAGATCTGGGACCTACATGTGGTTCCCTGTTGGTGGGTGAGGGTGACTGGGCAGGTGATGTTTGTGAGTTGAGTGGATGTCAGGTGAATGTAGAGGGGGATGAAAGGGTGTTGGATGTGACCTCTCTGTTGTAGTAGTGAGGGAAAAGGTCATTGTTGGGTAGTGGGAATGGTGAGGCACTGAAGATAGAGGAGTGAAAGTAACAGTTCGTTTATTCAATCCACACAGAAGCGGCTCTAGCAGCTGCTTGACTTATATTTATACGGACTGCCACTAGGCGGCAGCCAATGATTTTAAAGTATACATTCCTGCCTAAAACAAAGGCTAACAGTATATACAGACAGACAGTCGAGGATTCAAATCATTATTATTATTATTATTAATAATAATAATAATAATAATAATAATAATAATAATAATAAAGTTGGAAGGGACCTTGGAGGTCATCTAGTTCAATCCCCTGCTCAGGCAGGAAACCCTATACCATTTCAGACAAATGGCTGTCCAGTTTCTTCTTAAAAACTTCCAGTGTGGGAGCATTCACCGCTTCTGGAGGCAGGTTGTTCCACTGGTTAATTGTTCTAACTGTCAGGAAGTTTCTCCTTAGTTCTAGGTTGCTTCTCTCCTTGATTAGTTTCCATCCGTTGCTTCTTGTTCTGCCTTCAGGCACCTTGGAAAATAGCTTGACTCCCTCTTCTTTGTGGCAGCCCCTGAAATATTGGAATACTGCTATCATGTCCCCCCTCATCCTTCTAATTGAACAATTAGATAATTGAACAATTAGATAACTGTTTTTATAACAGACCTTATGAATTTGAGTTAATACATAACAGTCATGCGTGAAAGTGCTGAGAGAAAGCGCTATAGCATTGTGTCAACTTTGAAAATGGGCATGGCTGTAGCCATTTTCCCTACTCATTTTTTGTTGACACATAGTATGGAGGGAGAGGGGTTTACCAAGTGCTTTGCTAGACCAAATATATTTTCTCCTGTGAGAACCAAGGTCATCGGCTGTTCCCAGGACTGTAGGCTAGGCGTTTCGTGAAAAGCCCACCAAGAAGATGTATTGGAGAACGTAGTAGCTTGCATAGCTTTAGGGGTGGGATTTCTTAACTTTGTATTGGGAATTGTTGCATGTCTAATAGACTTGGTTTAATGTGACAATCTATTGGGTTCATTTTACCCCTATTTGTTTTGAGTTTTTGAAAGGTTGCCATTTCAAATCTATAAAATAGTTTTGAAGCTGACAGAAGACAGAATGGCTCAGGAGTTGAGATTATTTGGTCCATGGAGAATCACTGTCCTTGGTCTAGGATGAGGTTTCCCTTCATCAGTTATACCAGTTACACTTACCATTCTTCAGGCCCAGTTATCTCGCATCTTGTCTACTCCAATGTACTCTACATAGAACTACCCTTGAGAAGTATTCAAAAGTTTCAATTGGTTTAAAATGTGGCAGCATGGCTTTGGGGTCACTTTATTTGAACGACCTGTCTTTTCCCAGTTATACCTATGTGACCGACCAGAGCAGGGAGGATGGATATGTTACCAAGGTCCATCTAGTAAGACCAAGAAGAAAGGTCTTTTCCATGGTGGCTCCCTCCCTGAGGAAAATCATCCCTGCAGAGATAAAATTGGTCTCCACCCAGATACTCTTTTGAAAGACCTCAAAGACATGAGGTCTTTCAGCAAGCCTGAAAGTCATTATGATCCCATCAAGTGATTTGATTGTGGTCACCAGTGGGGTGAGGGTTTATTGGTTTTGTATTTGGGCTTTTATTTCTGTAAATAAAGACTGTATGGCCTGGAGTCGCCATGAGTGAGTTGGATGGCCAAATGAATTCTCTTAAGAAACAAACAAACAAACAAACAAACAAACAAACAAACAAACAAACAAACAAACAAACAAACATGTTTTTAGGGCCAAGATTGGACCAAAGTCACACAACTGGGTTCATGCCCAAGATTCTTCCAGCACTCACAATGTCTCCATTTCCAGACTGGAACCTTTAATCCCTATACCAGACTAGCTCTTCATAATGCTCCCAGTTCATGTAATTAATTATCTACTGTTTAGTATGAAATTAGAAAAACAGCAATTCTGTATGAGTCCATGGGGTTTTAGGCAGGAAATGGATCTCAGGAGACTACATAGGAATAGATGGTTTTAAGACCTTC